TGGGTGGACTTCCACTCCCAGAATCCCCCAGCCGGCATCCTTTAAGAGGGGTGGACTTCCACTCCCAGAATCCCCCAGTCTGCATGAGCATTTGTTGGCATTTTCCCTGCTACAGGAAGGCTGAGCCTTGCCTTGGAAATCTTCTTCCCCCAGGACTGCTGGCTTGTGGTGGGATAGCGAAAACACAAAGTTCCTTTGACTTACCCTTGAGTAAACCCACCGAACTTGGAGGGGCTGTGCACCAGGGCCCGGGGGGAGTCTACTTTCCTCAATAAATCCAAGGACTGATTCTGCAGGACGACTTGCATGTGAGTGGTGCAGCGCTGGATAAACTCGAGCATCTGAAAAGCAAACCCGCAGTCCAACAGGTCACGCTTGGAAGGTTCTGTACAAAGCCGAAATTAATTTTTCCCAGGGAAAAGCGGGCAGGAAGGGAAAGATCCCATTTGAAAACCATGGAAAGCGGGGTGGAAGGCTCTGTGAGGTGGAATTTTTTTAAAGCAAGGATATCCAAGCTTGGTAACTTTTAAGAGTTGGGGACTTCAACTCCCAGAATTCCCCAGCCAGCATAAACTCAAAATATTTGGCGTACTGCTGATTAGCTAGAGAGTTCCCAGAGCGCCTAAATTATTAATAAAAATTGTCTGTGTCAGGTTTCTTAAACTAAAAAACAGAATAAAATAGAAGAAAGAATGAAATGGGATAGAATAGAAATAAGAATGGAATGGAATGGAATAGAATAAAGAATAGAACAAAATAGAACAAAGTAGAACAGAACAGAACAGAACAGAACAGAATAGAATAGAATAGAATAGAATAGAATAGAATAGAATAGAATAGAATAGAATAGAATAGCAATTAAGAATAGAACATTTTTGGTTATATTATTAGTATTATTATACCTTTACTATTGCTAATAGTTTGTATGTTGAGATTTATTACAAACATATGTTGGTCGTGTTCTATTTTTAAATAATGCTCTTTCAATGCACTGTTATTCAAAAATGTTTATGAATGAAAACTTATAAAAAAAGCACAGAATAATAACAACCTTTATTGACATTGTACATATATACAACGAAATTGATTTTTGCTCCTGCTGATGCTATCCATAACAAAAATACAATACAACATAAATAATATAGAGAATGGTCTTTAAACAGGTAATTGGGGAGAATGGATGGAATAGAATAGAATAAAGAATAGAATAGAATAGAATAGAATAGAATAGAATAGAATAGAATAGAATAGAATAGAATAGAATGATATAGGAATAGAATTTAAATAGAATGGGATGGAACGGGATAGAGAGTAGAATAGAATACAAATTAGAATTAGAATTAGAATTAGAATTAGAATTAGAATTAGAATTAGAATAGAATAGAATAGAATAGAATAGAATAGAATAGAATTCTTTATTGGCCAAGTGTAATTGGACACACAAGGAACTTGTCTTCAGTGCATAAGCTCTCAGTGTGCATAAAAGCTGTAAGTGATACATCATAATCACAGTCCTCATAAAAATACATTAATCATAAATCGTAAGATACAACACTTAGTAATAGTCATGGGATATTAAGTAAGCAATCAACATAAATCATACTAGGAAACTAAATAAAACAATATAAACCGTAAAGATACAAGCAACAACGTGATAGCCATCAAGTAGAAAAGGAGATAGGAAATAAGAAGGATGAGAAGAATAATAGTAATGCAGCCTTACTATAAATAGTTTGACAGTGTTGTGGGAATGAGTTGTTTAGCAGAGGGAGGGCATGGGGGGGGGGGGGGGGGAAATGGCATAACACGAAAGGAATAAAGGGCTGAGGAGGGAAGAGGAAAACAAGGCTACCCAAATATCCATCTCCCCGTTTCTAACTAACTGGAAGGGTTTTTCTAAGCACCATACCCGACTGGGTCTCCGTGTTTGCTCACTTCCTTCCAGGCGCCCCAAAACGTCACCCGCAAGCTTCCCGAGAGCAACATGGCTAAACGCCCCGCCACCACACACCTGCGCGCTGCTTTCCTTCCCTGCGGTCACAGCCCAGCTTTGCGGCGTCCTCCCATCCTTGTCGTGGAGTCGCAGGTCCCCGCCTGCGTCCAGCAGCCTGCTAAGGATGACCTGGCTTCCTGAGAAGGCCGCTGCGTGGACAGGGGTGCTCCCGTCGTAACAGCGGCTGAAACGACAATGGAGCGACTGAAACGACATTCTAGACCTAGAAAACCTAGAACTACGCCGCCTTCCGTCCGATCTAAGTATAGTATATAAAATCATACATTGCAATGACTTACCTGTCAATGAATACTTCAGCTTCAACCCTAACAACACAAGAGCGCACAATGGATACAAACTCAAGGTTAGCCGCACCAAACTTGACTGCAGAAAATACGACTTCAGCAACAGAGTGGTCAATGTCTGGAATACTCTACCTGACTCTGTGGTTTCTTCCCCAAACCCCAAAAACTTTAACCTTAGACTGTCTACTATGGACCTCACCCCTTTCCTAAGAGGTCTGTAGGGGGCGTGCATAAGCGCACCAACGTGCCTACTGTCCCTGTCCTATTGTTTCTTTTATTTTTCTTATATGTATCCATGTATTCATAACTATGTTTTTTACTTATACCTATTATCTTGACAAAAATAAATAAATAAATAAATATAAATAAATAAATAAAAAGAACAACAGAGCCATGACCTTCACGCCAGGGGTGGGATGCAAACATTTTTACAACCATGGGCGTGGCTAGGTGGGCGTGCCATGTGACTGGTGGGCGTGGGTTTTTTTGTGTCTGCAGCACCTTACCCACCCCCCCAGCTCCGTTTTTTTTTGCCTCCTGGGCAAAGCAGTAAGACAGTGAGGGGGATGTCGGAACAGCTGATCATCAGAACAGCTGATCGTCGGGAGGGGGAAAAAAGAAATACCAATTTGGCCCAACCGGTAGCTGTTTTTTTTACTACTGGTTCAGCTGAACAGTAGCATTTTTTACTTCCAGCTCGCCTGAGCCAAGACGAATCGGTAGAATCCCACCACTGCTTCACGGATAATTTCGCTACTTCCTCTAACTCTCTAAAGCAAATTCTTTTAGAGATAGCCCTCGACTTACGACCACAATCGACCCCCAATATTTCCATTGCTAAGACTCACTGTTATGTGATATTTATGCTGCATTTTATGACCTTTCTGGCCACGGTTGTTAAGTGAATCACCGCAGTTGTTAAGCTAGAGACATGGTTTTAAAGTGAATCCAGCGTCCCTTTGGACCTTAGTTGACAGAAGGTTGCAAAAGGGGATCACGTGAGCCCGTGATTCTGCAACCGTCATAAATATGAGTCTGTTGCAAAGTGTCTTTATTTGTAAGTCGCGACTTACAAGTGAATAAAAGTAGAAGCAGTAGAAGTAGAAATAGTAGACGTTGAAATAGAAGTAACTGAAATAGAAATAGTACAAATAAAACTAGTAGTAAAAATAGAAGTAGTAGTAGAAGTAAAAGTAGAAGTAATAGAATAGTAGAAATAAAAGTAGCAGAAGTAGTAGTAGAAGTAAAAGTAGAAGTAAAAGTAATAGTAGAAGTAAAAGTAAAAATAACAGTAG